TCAGATGAAGTTTGGATGCTCATTTGCATGAAGTTGAAGCTCTACCAACGGTTAGCTTATCTCTTTCTGACACTTTGCAGAAGATAAGATAAGATCTCTGACAAAAGATACAAGATTTCAAAAATGAGATCGTCTCTTTCCAACGGGCAGATTCTCATTACCAGCTATAAAATGATGAAGATATGAAGACTTGAAGATAGGGGGAACCAACAAGCTAAAAAAGAGCAATAGAGCAAAAATCTCATTTGGTACAAAGCATACCAAAAATCTTCAAGTGAGAAGTGAGAAAGAACTCTGAGAGCTTAACAGAGAAATATTCAGAGAGTTTAAAAAATAGAGCAAAACAGAGCATAAAAATCAAGTGCTTTACTTGATACACTCAAAGAGAGAAAACACTCAGATCATTCAAGAGAAATCATTCCAGAGTGTTTTATCTTCATCAAAGAGACCTGCGCATCATTGAAGATCAACTACAGAGTCTCGAAGTTGGAAGCAAGACAAAACTTGTTTTGGAGCAAAACAAGAGAAGGGAGGAAAGTAGCACGGAGCTGTGAAATCCTGGATTGTCACACGGAGCTGTGAGATCCGAAGCAGCAGTGTCGGAGGCACTGGGCGTGATTAGTACGGGCTTTGTGATCAAAGCACTAGATCACGGGATATGTTTCTACCGGAGTGTGGAAGACGGGGGAAAGTAACGCGGAGTCGTGAAATCCTGGGATAGTAGCGCGACGACGTGAAACCCGAAGCAGCAGTGTGGTGTCACTGGGCGTGATTAGTGCGGGCTTTGTGATCAAAGCACTAGATCACGGAAATTCATTGTATCTTGGAACCAAGAAGTGGTGGATATAATGAATTGCTCTTGGAGATAAGAGCAAGTGGAGTAGGAGGATTACACCACCTCGCGAGCCACTATAATTGTCTTGTGTTCTTTACTGCTTTCTTTACTTACTGCTATTTACTTGCTCTACATGAGATATACTGCTCACACAATCTCACACACACTTTATCTTTATTTAATTCCGCTGTGCACCATACTCTAACAATGTAGTTAAGAGTTTTGGTTTATCTCTGGCTTAGCAATTGTTGTGCTGTGCGAAAAAGTTTGAAAGTCTATTCACCCCCCCCCCCCTCTAGACTTTCACCTTACCTCTTTTGGGACCAACACGACCAACGAGTCTTCTATAGCCATTTACATCACTGAGTGGTTCACCATCAGTGTGGTTGAGATGGTAACCAGGCACCATTGGAGTGTTTACTGGTTTTGCCTCAAGAAAACCTGCTTCTGCTAATATGTCTAGAGAGTATTTCCTTTGACAGAGATTGAGGCCTGCATCATCTAGTTTCGCCTCAATCCCTAGAAAATACCCTAACTTCCCCAAGTCCTTAATCTTGAAAGCATTGTTGAGGACTGTTTTGAGATCACTGATTAGGTCCAAATCAGGACTTGTGACCAATATATCATCTACATACACGAGTACGGCTATGAAGGAGCCCTCATATCCTCTTGTGAACAAGGATGGATCAGCCTTGGACTGAGTGAATCCCATACTGGACAAAGCTGTACTTAACTTGGCATTCCACTGGCGGCTTGCTTGTTTAAGACCATAGAGAGATCGGAGCAGTCTACACACTTGGTTTGGTTTTTCAGATTGAAAACCGGGAGGCAGAGTCATATAAACTTCTTCCGTTAAATCACCATGTAGAAAGGCGTTATTTATGTCCAGTTGATGAATATTCCAAGCCTTCGAAGCTGCAATCGCCAGGAAGGTTCGAATGGTTGTGATTCTAGCAATCGGTGAAAACGTCTCAATGTAATCAACAACTAACTGTTGGGTATATCCCTTTGCCACTAGATGTGTTTTGTATCTTTCAACCGAACCATCAGCTTTTAACTTCACCTTGTAGACCCATTTACACCCTATAGGTATCTTTCCTGCAGGCAAGGTGGTTAACTCCCATGTATTATTATCTTGGAGGGCTTGAATTTCTATTTTCATAGCCTCTCTCCAATGTTGCTCCTTTATGGCTTGATTGTAAGACTTTGGTTCAGTAGCAGTAGTAACAGCCATAGAGAAGTACTTGTGTGATGGTTCTAGGACATCAAATGTTATAACCTTGGAAAGAGAGTGTGGAGATGAACCTTTACTAACCACAACTTCACAGAGATAGTCTTGAAGCCTATTTGAAAACTGCATTTGTCTACTCGATCTTCTTGGTTGGATATCACCATTGCTGGTTGACTCATGTGAAGTATGATCACATTACTGTATCTCATGTACACTCTCATCATTATTTCTGCACATACCATCAGAATTAGAGTGTTGTGACAAAGTTTCCTGATTTTCCACCCTTTGCTGCTCCATTTTCGGTTCAGCTTCATGGTCTATGGTGGGTGCACCATAAGCAAAGGATTGATGTGAACCAGCCCCACCTTCATCCTCATTGGCAGTGGATAGCTGCACTCTGGAATTATCAAAAGAAGGCTCATAATGAAGCTGAGTGTTAGTAGGAATAATGGGAAGAGATGGACCATTCAACATAGGATCATGACCCTCATCTGATGAAAATTCCTGTGAAGAAAAGGGAAACACAGATTCATAGAACTTCACATTTCGTGACACAATTATGTTCTTTTCTTCTAAGTCATACATCAGATAGCCTTTAGTGTAGGCAGGCATGCCCACAAAGATACACCTCTTACTTCTTTGGTCCATTTTGTGCTTGGAGGGTGAGAGATTTGCAGCGTAGCAGAGACAACCAAAAGTCTTGAGACACATGAGATCAGGATCCTTTCCATATAATCTGTGAAAGGGGTTAGATAATTCAATGACTGGTGAAGGCAGTCGATTAATAATATACACAGCATGCATTACACATTGCCCCCAAAACTAAAGAGGCAAGGAGGCTTGAAACCGGATAGATCTTGCTACATTAAGAACGTGTTGATGCTTCCATTCAACTATTGCGTTCTGCTGTGGTGTATAAACGCAGGACTTTTGGTGAATAATTCCTTTCTCTGCAAAAAACTCAGCCATATTGAACTCTGCTCCGTTGTCAGTTCGAAAGGCTTTAATGATCTTCCCAAATTGAGTAAGAACCCACGCATGAAACTTTATAATGAATTGTCTTACTTCAGCTTTGCTTCTCATAAGGTGTAACCAAGTGAACCGTGAGTAGTCGTCAACCAAAGTTAAGAAATAACGTTCTCCTTTCAACGAGCAAACTGGAAATGGTCCCCATATGTCGGTATGAACAAGATCAAAGGCAGCCTTCGAAATTGTAACACTGAGGGGAAATGGTGATCTTTTATGTTTAGCAAGATTGCAAACATCACATACAGAATTTTTGACAGAAATATTCTTGATCTCTTTCAAAGAATGGAGTTTATTAAACGGGAAGTGTCCTAGTCTTTGGTGCCAAATCTCACTACTATTACATTGTGATGCTACGATGTTATGAGTAACTTTCTTTGGTCTTGGTGGTTCCACCGGCAAGTACAAACCACTTACAAGCTTAGCCAAACCAAGTGTCATTCCAAGAGCATCCTGAACCAAGCACTGCCCAGATGTGAATACAACATTATAACAAGTGTCGTGTAGGAGTTTACTCACAGAGATCAGATTAAACTGGAAGGATGGAATGTGCAAGACACCCTTCAACCATAGCTGCTCATTCAATTTAATATCCCTTATATGTTTGACAGATATAGACTTCCCAGTAGGCAGACTTACTTCACTATTATGCATGACATGATAATCATCATAGTAATCAGCAGAACACACTATGTGATCAGATGCTCCTGAGTCTAATATCCAAGTAGAGAACGATAACGTAACAGAATTAACATGAGTATTAGAAGACTTGCCTTCATTTGTCGAGCTGTCCTCGTAGAACCGAGGAGTTAGAGACACAGTAGCTGTGGTTTTGGCACCTTGAGTTTGTCCAGTTTGAATCTGAAGGAGAGAGATTAGCTTCCCCAATTGATCAGATGTGGTTGAGCCAGTACAATTGTTTGAATCCAAGCCGGTTGAACTGGAATTTGCAGCAGCCACTTGCCTTCCCTTTGACTTGTATCCCGGGATCCATCCCAGAGGATAACCGTGTTTCTTGAAACACTTATCTACAATATGCCCACTCATTCCACAAAATGTGCATTTCGCTGCCTTGTTTCCAATCCCATTCCTCTTGAAATTGTTAGGATTATAGGAATTTATGGCTGCTACGGTTTCACCTGAGACTTCCTGGTCTTGCTGCACTGCGTTCGCCTGAGAGAATTCAATGCTGCCTAGACTCAAGTTTTCCAAGGCAATCTGTCTTTCCACCTTTTCGGCCATAACAAAGATCTTATACACTTCAGGTAAGAGATCAAGGACCAAAATATTGGACTTAAAGTTGTTGTAGTCCTCATTGAGCCCTTGCAAGAAACGGATGACTTGATCTACATCCCGTTCCTTTCTGATCTGAGTAACAAAGTCACATGAACACTTCGGTTCACATTTGCAACACGGCAGAGGCCTTATGGCATTCATCCTTTCCCATAATGTTCGGCATCGCGTGTAATAGTCATTAACAGAAAATTTTCCTTACTTCAAACTATATATCTCATCTTGCAAAGCAGCGATCCTTTGTGCATCACATTGAGAGAATCGGCGCTCCAAATCTTCCCAGATTTCCTTGGCCTTATCCAAATGCATAATACTCTGCGCAATAATAGGATGAACGGATTTAAAAAACCACGAACATACCATGAGATTGCACCGTCTCCAAGCAGCGAACTGGAAGTGGTCTCTGGCCGGCGCGGTGATGCTCCCATCGACGATAGACCACTTATTCTTCACTTCTAAAGCAATTTTCATTGAAATCCTCCAGGATCCATAGTTTGCGTTGCCTAGCAATGGCGGACTAACCAAAACATTGTTCGGATTGTCACTGCTGCTGAAGTGGAGCGGATTCTCGAGATCTTCCATGGTTTGAGCTCTCTGTTGTTGGAATAGGTTCCTCTACGGAGTTTGAATCCTCTGTGGAGTCGTGACGGATGTTGCAAGCACCGGTGAGTGTGCAATTGACGCCGATCCTAGAGGCGCCTCCTGTTCTGGTTCACTGGTGACGACGGCGGCATAGGAGCTGAACTTGTTCATTTCGTCGAAGCTCAGCCGTAGTGCTCTGATACCATGATACAAAGAGTAAAGTTGAGGAGAGAAGATGAAATCTAGTTTATTCAAAAAATGGTCAACAACAGAGAGAGGAGAAGCTTATATTTACAAGAGGTATTGGTGGTTGATGGCGGTTACAACGGTGTAACAAAATAAAGAAGCTAAAATGACTACTCTATCCTTCTAGTTCTCAAACAATTGTAGTCATGAACAACAAGCCAATTATATCCAAATAACTCCTCCTGTTGTTGTTGAATTTCTTTGGTAGAATGAACAAGCAAAGAATGACAACCGTGCAACTCAATTAATTGCAAACTGTATAGTTCAACAAAAGTGGAAGGGATCTTCTCCAAATGAATACAATGTTTAATGATGAGGCGCTCTAAGATAGGGAAAGCATCCTCAGTAGCTGTCCACTGCATCAACTCCATTTCTTGAATGAGCAGTACTTTTAATTTAGGAAACCAATCTCCAGTATGTTCCCAATGTTGTCCTTTACAAGCTCCAAACTTGAGTTTTAGAACCTCAAGATTTGGCAACATACCAATAACTTCCATAGCATCCCATGGCAGCAAAGTTCCCTTCAATGTCAACATTCTGAGTTGTACTGGAAAAGCACTTGCATGTGGAAGTATAATAGGATCATCATGATGGCTATTAATTTTTAGTTTCTCAAGCTTCTGTAAATTTATAAGATCATTCAACCAATTTTTAGTCCAAGAATCAAATTTCTCCACCCACCTCGGTATGAAAATTCCCATCACTTTCGCATTTGGAATTCTCAAAAATACTTGCTTTTTGCATTGGGAAGGGCGTAGCCAATAAATTGTCTGCAAGTACTCTTGAACAACACTCGGAATATCGAACATAAACACCCTGCTAAATTGTAGATGCCTCAACATTGGCATCCTCCAAATTTGATGTGCCTTTGTTGGATAATACTCCACAAATCTTTCTTCTTTTGTAAGAAGCACAAGAGTTTGTAGATTAAACTCTCTTTCGACTTCCACATTTCCAATTGGCTACAGAAGTCTATGTTCACAGTTAAGTATCTCAAAAGAATTAGATCATCAAAACCCATACTAGTAAACAACAAATGCCAATCAAAGCAGGGAGTACCACTTAGATCCAATACTCTCAACATCTTGAAATCTGAAATTTGGTCAATAAACCAATTTGAACAAAACAATAAAATGGATCGAGATCTATTATCGTCAAGTGAAACATTATTCCTTGTTTCAATACTTACCCAACGACGATAAATATGTAAGTTACCAAAATGTCCATCTACAACATGTAAGAGGTCCTCCTCCATTGCTTTCCTCTTACAGAAGTCATGTACTATGTCATGCACCTTACATGTCTTAATCTTGCCATCTAAGCTAGTTTTGTCAATCAAAACTAAACTCCTACATACAAGTTCTTTTAGAAAATCATCAGCAACTTCTTCTAAGCTCTTTTGACCTTCTACTTTCACAAACCCTTCTGCTATCCATAATTTAATAAGTTCTTTCACAGGAATTCGATCTCCTTGGAAACCCATAGTGACTCATTGATTGCTCGTGCAAGTCCAGCAACTATAACAATTGCAAAAGGCAATCCCTTGAAATAATTGAGAATGTGTATCCATATTGCCTCGACTTCTGAGCGCAATCTTACAGGGTGAATCTTTTGGAGAAATAAATCCCAACTTTCTTCTGAATTTAAAAAAGGCAAGTTTAGAGAACAATAAGTATACGATCTTGCCACTCCATCATGTCGACTGGTCAACAATATTCTACTCCCATTACAATCTTCTGGAAATGACCCTTGAATGTCCTCCCAATGGTTACTATTCCATATGGCATCTAGAACAATCAGATACCTCTGACCAAGTAACTGTTGGCGTACTAGGTTAGGTAGGTCGTCGTTGACTTGATGGATGAATTCTTTCTGTTTTGGCTCAATACACAACAAAAGCTCACGAAGCATTCTACGTCCGTCATATGTTGCAGATGTAGACATAGTTGCCCAGGCAAGAACATCAAAATGAGATATAACTAATGGATCTTGGTACAAGCTTGGAGCAAAAGTTGTCTTACCTATTCCCGCCATGCCAACGATTGGTATAACCAGTCTTTCTTGAGATTTGTCATCAAGGAGTAACCGTTTGATACGTTCCAACTCAGCAGTGCGCCCTACCATTGTGCTCTGAAGCTCTAAGGCTGTGTGAAGGGAGGAACTACTACTACTACTTTCAATCCTTTCCCTCGATGAAAGAATACCTCTCATTTGCGAATATTCTTCCCTCACGGAATTTGTCAACTCTTCAATTGCATTTCCCAAGATGTAATGAGAGCTTTTAGCAAGAGTACTCGTACTCTGCCTTTGGCTACAACTCTCAATTACTTTGGATTCAATTTCATCTTCTATTCTCAGGGCAACATCTTTAAGCCTTGCTTTCCAGTCTTGCATCGGCACGTCTTCATCAGCGTTGAATTGATTCTCAGATTTCTCAAGAAACTCAACCAACTCACGTAGCCTTCCATGGAGTGCTTCCGCTGCGTTTGTGTCGTCAAGAACGACATGTGGGTTGGGTGGTAAGAACTGAAGCTCTACCGTTCGCATCAGTGAAGTCACGGCGAACCAGGCCATATCTTATTTTCCTCCATCTGCTGTATCTTATTTCTTCTTTTAGTTTGTGATTATGTTTGTAAACTGACAGTGATCTGATCTGATATACACTATTTCTCTTTCTCCGCTGTTGACTTTTGAGGGTGTTGAACTGCTCAATGCGATTGATTCATAATCAAATAATTCAAGTGGAGATTTAAAAAAGGAAAATATAAGGGGTCGTTTACTTCATTTCTCTATTTTTCCATTTCCAGTTTTCCATTCTTCCATTTCTCCAGTTTTCCTTTTCCATTCTTCCAGTTTTCCATTTCTCCATTCCTCCAATTTTTTATTTTTCTAATTTTCTATTCTATTAAAAACAATCATCCCATACAGTATTTGTATATTTCTACAACAAAGATAATAATAATAACAACAATAATAATAATAATAATAATAATAATAATAATAATAATAATGATAATAATAATAATAATTTAATAATTTAATAATAATAATAATAGTAATAATGATAATAATAATTTAATAATAATAAGAATAGTAATAATTTAATAATAATAATAGTAATAATTAATAATAACAACAAAAAATTTGTGTATATAAGTAGGAGGAAAAAGAAAAAGAAAAGAGATAATAATAATAATAATAATAATAATAATAATAATAATAATAATAATAATAATAATAATAATAGTAATAATGATAATAATAATTTAATAATAATAATAATAATAGTAATAATTTAATAATAACAACAACAAATTTGTGTATATAAGTAGGAGGAAAATGAAAAAGAAAAGAGATAATAATAATAATAATAATAATAATAATAATAGGAAGATGTGAAGAAGAGGCACGCCATAGTAAAAATAAATAGCAGAGATAAAGCTGAGGCGCCAACAAGGTTCGAACCTTGGACTACTGAATATAAGTAGCACTATTCACCCGCGTCTTTCCATTTCTCCATTTGGAGAAACTTGTTTAGAACTTCTCCAAATATCTCCAAATTCCTTATGGAATGCGGAAAATGGAGATGGAAAATAGTTTTGGAGAAATAAATTTAGTAAACAACATCTCCAATTTTCATTTTTCCACTTCTCAATTTCTCCATTTTTCTGGAAAATTTTCCATTTTTCCAAGTTAGTAAACGACCCCTTATATGCTTAACTTCTACTCTCTCTTACAAATCATAGGCTCTTTTTCTTAGATCCACATAATGAAAATATCATATCCTATTCTTAATTGTCACATCATGTGGTAGAACTTTTTAAAAAAAGAGTAAATAGCCAAAATGGTCCCTCGACTATAGCTAAATTCACAAATTAGTCCTCGACTTTCAATTTCAACCAATTAAGTCCTTAACTTTGTAATTTTGACACGATTTGGTCCTCCATCTATTTGACTGTTTGTTGACCGTGATCAACGATCTTCAGAAGAACCTTCAGCTCTCTTCGGAGCACGTGGAGGCCTCCAGGATGACGTTGCACCGGTTCTGAAACACGTCATCTTCTTCGCTCTGGTACGAACTCAACTACATTGAATCCAAAGGGAGGATGAAGAAAGGCGACCGGATTTGGTAGATTGCTTTCGGCAGTGGATTCGAATGTAACAGTGCGGTCTGGAAATGCAACCGGAACCTTAAAAAACCGACGATGGACCATGAAATTACATATATATCCTCAAAAATCACAGTCAACAAACGGTCAAATAGACAGATGACCAAATTGTGTTAAAAATACAAAGTTAAGAACTTAATTGGTTGAAATTGAAAGTCGAGGACCAATTTGTGAATTTAGCTATAGTCGAGGGATCATTTTGGGTATTTACTCTTTAAAAAATGATCGGTTATGTACGGTGATGTATTATTTAAACTCGTTTTCCTAGTCAACACGTTTTCGATCAGTTCCTCGTAAGGTGTCTAAATAATCTTTGTTTTAAAGAATGAGAAAATATTCAAATACATCCCTAAACTTTATATGAAAAGTTAATTAGGACTGTGAATTTTTTAAAAATTTACAATTCAATCTTTGAACATGCTATTTTTGTGCACATTGAAGCATTAAAACGATTAATGACTTGCAATAACAAGTCATTAGGGTTCCGGTGGAACTCCAACGACACTCTAGCAATTAATTAAATCCAGCGATCGACATCGTCGCTGATTTCCTTTGAAGAAGGCGACCAGCATATCGCCTACTCCAATTAAAAAAAAAAAAAAGTCATTAGCTGGGTCGCTTTCTCCGACCATTGGCACTACTACAATAGGCAAATTTTTATTTGTCGAAGCAGTGTTATGCAATTTTTAAAAAGAGCAAATACCAATTTTGGTCCCACGAGTATTAGCAAAATGACAGTTTTGGTCAACATGTTTAATTTCTATCAATTTTCATCCATAAATATTGTTTTAGTGTCAAAATTCATCACGCCGGTCAATCATTCGTTTAAGCCATGCCGAAATCTAAAATTTTTAATGGTATTTTTGTCCTTTTCAACTTAAGATCCCAATTTGAACATGAATAATAAGATTTAAGCCCTAAGATCGATCCCAATTTGCAGTTCTCCTCCTCATCCTACCTTAATTTGAGTATGAGAACTGTAAATTGTGATCGATCTTAGGGCTTAAATCTCTTTATTCATGCTCAAATTGGGATCTTAATTTAAAAAAGATGAAAATATGCTTAATAATTGCATATTTCGGACACATATTAAACAGATGGGTGACCGGTGTGATGAATTTTGACACTAAAATAATAGTCGTGGATGAAAATTGGTATTAAAACAATAGTCGTGGATAAAAATTGGTAAAAATTAAATATGTAGACCAAAACTGTCATTTTACTAATACTCGTGGGACCAAAAATTGACATTTGCTCTTTTAAAAAATGTATAACACGATTTCAATAGAGACGCTTTTTCTTGTTTCATCTGCTTCGTAAATTTTTTTTTTTTTTTCCGTTGTGGTTATGATTCTGGAAGCCCTTCGTAGGGTCAAACCAAAGGTAGATCCTCTGTTTTATGTTTCCTCTGCCTCCGGTGAACGCATAGGCCTCTGACATTGTTCGATGATAAGTGATAACGGCCACAAAATCATTAATTATTATTGAACTAAGAGCATCCACATCAGTTGGAGAGATTTAGGAGTTATTTGTGGGCCCCAGCATCCACCTCATTCTCCACTATCTCACTCCATCACAAATAACTCTTCTCCACATCAGTTGGAGAGATTTAGGAGTTATTTATGGATCCCACTATTTAACTCACTATATTTTAATTATTTCTTTATCCATTTTATTTATAAATTTATATTTCAAGAAAATTTCAGAAAAAAAAAATTTCAAGAAAATTCATTAAATTTCAAGAAAATCCTTTTCTTTTACAAAGATCAGTGGATACAAAATATTCTCAGAAAAAAAATTATAAAATTGAAAAAAAAAATCCACCTCAAATTTACACTCCCTATATAAATACACACCGCCCAGAGGTCTCCACCTCCTTCTCGACACCGGCAAAACACTTCCCAATGGCGAGCCATTTCCACACTATCCACCTACTAGAATACCCATTTTCATTTTCCACTAAAGAATCTCTGCCGGCCTGGAATAACATCGTGTGTAGCAGGAAGAGCTCAAGAATCAGAGTCTCCGATGGAGGAGAGGACTTGTCGTATTTGGACATGTGGAAGACGACGATGGATCGCGAGAGGAAGTCTCTGGATTTCCAGAAGATCGTGGAGAACAGTAGAAAATCCAGCGACGATGAAGACGACGACGGCGCCGACGAGGAGGACAGCCCGGAAGCGATGGAGAGGAAGAGCAACGAGTTCCAGGAGATTCTCGAGTTCTCACTGCTTTATTTTTTTTATTTTTTATTTTTTTATTTTTCTGACAATATGCCTTCATTTGCAGGACAAATATTTTCCAATTATCTCCACTCCACATTAGCTATTATCTCTTGTAGGAAAGAATGCAAACTGAAATATCTCCTTATTATCCACTAGTGTGGATGCTCTAATTCGGGTGTTTTACATAGAATGTTGTGAATATTGTATCTGTAACATTATCCATCATTAGTATTACTATTATTACTATTATTACTATTATTATTACTATTATGCGGTGCAAACTATTTAGGTAGGTTGGTTAAGACTTAATATTTAATTAGTATGACGTAATTAGTCACCTATATTGATGGGATGTAGACATAAGAATTCCTAAGTCCTCAGAGTGCTCATTTAGTGATTCATATATCATTCAAAGTACTAAGAGTAGTGAAAAAAGAAAAAGAAAAAAAAAATGTGCTCTATATTTATGTTAAGGGAAAATTGTAATTAATTTATGCTCTTTCATAATTTGTCAATTATCAATATCACTCATGAATTATTAGTGGTGTAAATGTAACCTTTTAAAATTTTTTTTAAATGATACATATATTGTTCCCTATAGTATAAATGTTGTCCCTCAATTTTCAAAATGATATATATTGCCCCTCAAGTACCATACAGAAAAGACAATATATATACTATTTTAAAAATTAAAAGGTTACATTTACACCACTAATTATTCAGATATGACATTTATAATTGACATAGTATAGAAGAACATAAATTACAATTCTCCCTTTTATGTTAATTCTGCAGCAGCCTGAAGGGAGGACTAATAGTGATTCACTATCCACTGGTGGCTGGACAAGCATTCAAGCAACACCAAAAAAAAAAAAAAAAAAGTATGGTTGGAGGGTAGTAGGTTATTTATGTTATCACGCAAAATGTGTGTACGTGTATTAATGTGCTTGATATGTGAAATCGTTATGTCATGGAACTGTGTTCACCATCCATGGTGAACACGGTCCCAACGATGTTAGTACACCGTTATTTTTATTTTTATTTTTTTTCTTAATTAATCGCGTGATTTTTCTTTTTCATTTTCACATTTCGTGGTTTCACTTTAATTTGAGGTGAGCAGTGATTTCAGACATTCATAAATTATGAATCCATGCCTGCACATTCACTTTGGAACCATGCCTACACATTCCCGTCCGAAACCATGACTGCTCCTCTGTAGCGCAAGCTTCTTCAACATTCATAAATTATGAATTTTCTGTTATGAGATTATGAATTTTCTGTTATGAGATTATGAATTTACAGTAAATTCATAATCTCATAACAGAAAATTCATAATTTAATAAATATTTTTCTTTTATGCGATTATGAATTTTCTGTTATGAGATTATAAATTTTCTGTTATGAGATTATGAATTTACAGTAAATTCATAATCTCATAACAGAAAATTCATAATTTAATAAATGTTTTTCTTTTATGCGATTATGCATTTTCTGTTATGAGATTATGAATTTACAGTACATTCATAATCTCATAACAGAAAATTCATAATCTGACCAAACGCGCGCCGTTAACACTACATTCGCGATTTTTTTTTTTATGTAAAAACGGTGCCGTTTGGACCCGTGTTCCCAGGGCATAATTTGCCTTGATATGTGTGCCCAGCTGTAATAATTGCTTTTAATTCTTCAACATTACATATCATTGCATATATACTATATATATATATACTTCCGTATAATTGAAATGCGTGCAATATGTTTATTTTTGAATGAATTATATGCAATTTGCTTGGGCTGCTGAATCTTTTTCCGCATTAAGAATTCTTATTTTATTTAATTTCTTTTGGAAATCATTTTTCTCAAACCTACTGCCTATTCTTTCAATCATTATTGTGTGAACCATAATAAAAAGTACATTTTTAATATGCTAATGGTATATTATTTTATATAATGTACCTTCAGTATAAAAATAATCTATCTTCAATACAAAAATAATGTATTTTTAAGTTTTAATATATTAAAAATATACCTGATATTTATGGTTCATACAATTGTGTGGACCATAATTTGCCCTATTCTTTTTCATCGTCGATGTTTGATTTCTCCGTCTATCAGCTGCGCCAGCAATCGCTGAACAAGTTTCGATCTTACGTCGTTTTCATCTCCAGTTTCTAGCACCCGATGATCGTAGTGCAATATAGTAGATTGTGGAACAAACAAAAATAAATTTATTTAGGGTCATCCTCAGGGGTTGGATTTAGGCATAACCGATGAAATAACTAGCACAAAGGCGAAGCATTCTTTGGAAGCTAAGCAGACAGATAAACAAAGGAAGAATAATGGTGAAAATTGTTATAAATATTATTATTATTATGGCCATTATCACAAGACCTTTCATTTGCCTTATATTTATTCCATTATTTATGTTATAGAAAATGAAGGGTTATATGGATGTATATATATACATGTTCAAGGCATAATGAAAGAGTGAACTTGTGTTCTTGAGTTTTATATTCTTGTGTTATATTTTTCTCTCTACTCTTCCATTCCATATTGCAATATTCTTCATACATACAATCGATGCGTTACCGTACAACTATCACGCGAGAACTAACAAGTTGATAGGCCGAAATTACAACACGTTATCAGCACGAATTGCCAACATATTCCTCGGTGAACGGTATGTTCGGACATGTTATAATACATGTTTTTATACTAGGCAAGCATGTTCATAGGATTCATATAATACATGTTTTATATGGCACATGTTGATTCTACACCTCTTGATATGATTATGAAATGCATGATTGATATGATACATATTGATTCTAAAATTTGAAATATGAATTGCTCATACTGGTTCATATATATATGATTGTGTAAATTCTTGAATATATATTTCCAATTTTATTTTTGATTCTTAAAATTGAAAGAAAAGCATGTGATATATATGTTTGTGTAAATAGATGGGGCTTTTCGTACGAAGATGCAATGTATGTATACATATTATTTTCATTTCGCATACTTTGTATGTTATATACCCTATGATGTAGTGCATTATTATGTTTTTATGATATGTCGTTTGTATGTGATTAGCAATTAGTTTTTGTGCCTGATTAGGCAATGAATGAATGATTTTTAATTAAGATTGTTAAAGTTTATTTCGTGGAAGCTTAAGAGTGAGTAAGACTTTAAAGCTTAATTGATGACTTGGGAGCATCAATTCGGTGTATTGGAGAATGAAACACCACTCGTTGCCTGTAGCGCGAGTTGATGCTATAAACACGAGTTGATGCTTGCTGCATCAATTCGGTGTTTTCGCACCGATTCGTGCCTTGTTGCTTGTAGCACGAGTTGATGGTATAAACACGAGTCGATGCTTGTTGCATCAATTTGGTGTTTGCCTCACCAATTCGTGTTGCACCATTTCGATTTTTGTGTATATTCGAAAGATCAATTTGTTTTCTGATTTTATCTTTTGACTTCATCTCAGAAAGTTCATTTTGCATCTAGAAGATGTTAGATTCCTTATTTTGCTATAAACATGTGATATTATGAACGTATATGAGAATATATGATATATGTTTTGTAGATTACGTCTTCCATTGTCAAATGTGAATTTATTGAACTCGCTTATGAAGGAAGCAATTGTTGGGTTCTAGATATTGAAATTTATTTGGCATCCAGAGAATTGAGCCAAGCTTTTTTTGCTAAGTCACAGAGCGTCGATGTCCAGAAGGCACAAGCTCTCATTTTCATATGTCACCACTTGAACCACCATCTTAAAAATGAGTATCTGATTGAAAAAGAACCCCTTGAATTAATGGAAGTCCCTGAAGGACTATTCCGACCAAAAGTCATCAAATGTTCTTCCCCAAGACACATTTTGACTAGTTTAATCTCATGTTTAATTTTAAGATTATAAGTCAGTGATTAACTATAATTCAGCTATGCACAAAATAGTCTCAGAAGTGAAACTCTAAACAAGAAGTTTTAGAGAAATATTTAATTGAAAAGACATTGCCAACTTTTCATGTGAGTAATTTGTACTCCAGCAGTAGTACAACACAAAATTATGAGAAGTATCCTAAGCTGATTTGAGCACTCCTTGTGGCTAAGAAACATAACTAGTTGTTGATGAAGAATCAAAATGCATGTCTGGTTGATTTTGCACAGGTGCCTGAAGCACATAATGTTACCTAGTTGAGTAACTTCATAAGGGGTTGTGGTCGAGATTATAACCAGTGTGGTATGAGTTTCAAGCTCAGAATAAGAAATAAAGTGATCAAGATATTCAAGGACGACCAAACTTATCGAGGCAAAATCTTAGCCAGAAGCAGATTTGCTAACAATGTGGGTCTGAAGGGCATTGATCCCTACGTGCCGCACACCAAAGCATTTGGTCATCGGAGAATGAACATCATCTTGATGATTCTAGCTAATTTGCCTGAAGCAAATATTGCGATAAATTGTGATAATGAAATGATAAGTTATTGATGAAGAAATGATTAGTGTCATGATAATGTTTGAGTAATTCATGAAAATATATTCATGGACAAAAAGGTTAGCTCATGCCTGAAGCATGACGTATCCGAGAAGTAAACTCATGCTTGAAGCATCCGAGAAGTTAGTTTATGCCTGAAGCACTCGAAAAGTTAATTCATGGCCGCAATAACTTATTGCGTAACCGAGGAGTATATACACTCCAAATGTGTTTTTGAGTGCAAAGTTATTTTTGGAGGCAAATTATTATGAGTGCAAAGTGACCTTACTTTGCTGATTTTTCTTGCTAATTTTACTACTCGAATTGACTATTCAAAAAGTTTACCTCTCTAAGCTTACATCTCTAAGCTTACCTCTGTAATCTTGCTTCTCGATTTACTTCTTGAAATTTTACTTTCTGGAACTTTATTTTCCAGAGGAAGTTTACTTCTCAGATTTAATTCTCTTAGTTTGCCTGCTTATTTATATATGGAAATTTTTCTCATGCATGCAACATAACTCTCGTATGCAATTGACTGGCTGCTAATTCAAAATTGAATTATTATTTGTTCCATAAATCTTATATCAATCCCGGAAGGATTGCTATTATCAACAAATTATGATAATCATCTTTTGACTAAATTTAAGATGTCAACATGACAAATCCCTTTCCGACTATGGCTTAGTGCAATTCTGTGTTGTTTAAGGAGTGGTATACTCCTTTATAAGAATGATCTTTGACTTATGCCATACATGATATGATTGATTTAGATGTTATTGGTTTGGAAGATAGAATGGATCATATCATATCAATTTGCCTGAAGCAAACGAAGGACTAAATTATTTCATATTAGTTTGCCCGAAGCAAATGAGGGAATGAATTATATCATGTGAATTTGCACGAAGCAATTCCCAAACCAGTGAGTGAACTAATGTAAAGTTGAGGATAAGGATTTTTGGGAGATCTTGAAGATATAGTTTATTTGACAAGCTTCACAGCTTCCCTATGATTGTTGTGTACCCTTGTAATATCAATTGATATGTATGCTTTCATATCTGATTATATATTTTATTCTTGTTGGGGACATCAGTTTTATATGCTATTGTGGTTATCACAATCTAACCTACTGCATATCATAATTATTTCCCCTAGAACCTAGTACGTGGTATAAAACAAAACATTTCCCATCTGCGTTTTATTCACAGTGTGCAGTCTTTTTCCTATATCACCACCATAGCGTACCTTTGTGGGCATGTATATGTTGATTATAAACCTCCGTCTGTTATTTAAATTCTTAGAGCCCATGATAAGGGATCAATATATAATTAGGTACGCTGACTGCACACTTTATGAAGATCATTTCACGGCATTAGGGGGAGATAAGATCTCAAATTTTATAGAATGCCGAGAAATTCTATGAATGATTGATCTTCAATATTTAAACCCACGTGCTAGGTAGACTGAACTAGAAGTTCAGAAGAAGTAAACTGAACTAGAAGTTCAGTAGATAATTAATCTGCCAATATATATACTCATGAGTGACTAGGTCCTATATATTTTCCCCAACGTGGACCATATATATCTACCAATGCTCCTTGATGCTAGAAGCGTGGAGACATGTTGGTATAATCCGCGGAAAGCTAAATCTAGTAGAAAATGGTGTCATTCTTGAAATCGCTTAAAGAAGTATGTCCTACAGATATTCGTCCAGAAGACATTCGTTTGGAAGGCGAAAAACCCAGTAAAATTATAGGTGCACCCAAAATCATAATATTGGGATGCGGAACGACCAGATAAAAATACCTTTGGGAAATGGCTAGAGTCTGGTTGAATTAGAAATTGCCATTATTTTATATATATGGGAGAAATTTATGAAAAATGTTATAGTTGTCGACAACACAATTGCCTTATAAATTGCTCTTAGTATATGAGAATCTGGATCCAGAGCTAGGCACCAGTAGTGCCTTGATTTTTTTTACGTATAAAAGAGCAATTAAGGCATGTACAGCTCAGCTCGCTAAAACTGTATTCTCTTTATAACACGTACACCATTTAATGTTAACCCTGTAGGTTACAAATGGGTGTTTGTACGAAAGAGAAATACAAACAATATGGTGGTATGATATAAAGAGAGACTGGTAGCTTAAGGGTTTACGCAGAGACCCTGAATTGATTTTGATCAAATATTCTCTCCCACAACATATGGCATTACGTTCCGCAAATTAACATTATTGGCAGTGAATTATGAATTTAGATATGCAGTTGATGAACGTCATGACCGTAATTTACTGGTCATTAGACGCTAATATTTATTTGTAAATCCCCGATGGATTCAACACTTTTGGAATGTGGAAAGTGAAAATCTCAACGTGTATCATTAAAATACTAAAGTCTTTGTATGACTTGAATATTATTGACTGAGTTTTTTCCTCCCGAAGAAGGAATGTATAAATAATATGTACCATTATGTGTTCGTTAAAGAATTGCTAATGGAGTTATTTATTTATCATCTCAGTCGATATTGACGGTTTAAATATCATCGAAACACATAGAGAGCTTGGTGATATTAGCTCATGCCGAAAGATGGAGTTTTAAAATAAAAGACTTGGAAATCCAAGTATTGTCCGACCTGAAGATCGAGCTTCTCCTTGAAGAAGTTTTATACACCAGTTAGCCTATTTAAAAAAATATCTTGAAGATGTTTTATATAGACAAGTATTATTTACTTATCACACAAACGGTTGTCCAATAATCTCTTGAAGTAGATAAATGACCATTTAGACTCGAAGGTTATAATGAGGATATTTAGGGACCGGAAGTCCATTACTTCATTGCTATTGGAGCACTATTATTGAACTAGAAGTTCCATAATCGCATCAGGCCTGATATTGAATTTGCGATGAAATTGCTAGCAAGATTTAGTGCTTCTCCCTACAATGAAAATTGGAATGGTATTTAACATATCCTCCAACACCTTCGAGGTACAAAGATTTTGACGTTTATGTGAGAAACCAATATGTGGTTTTGATGGACAACTTGGGCATTAGCTCTTTTATTTTATCCCTATGATGCCAAGTTCAGAACTGGTTATGTTATATTTTTACCCCCAATGTCCCATATGAGGACAAATAAGATTGTGTTGCACAAGCAAGTAATAGTTTTGTTAAGGGGAACCTTACAAAACATGTTGCACCTAAATCCTTCTACACACATGAACTCTAGAAGAGTTGTAAAATTCTTATTGAGAATGTTTTCCCCACTGAACAATCTTGCAGATATGTTCACTAAGTCTCTGCCTACATCCACTTTTGAGTAATATGTTCATAAAATTGGGATGCGTGGGCTTAGAAGATTGTTATCTTCAGGGGGAGCGACAACGCCTAGCTGTGCTAGAATGGACAATCTAGAGGACTTTTGATATCCTGAATATTATGCTACGAAAGCATATGGTTGTACTCTTTTTCCCTTAGCTAAGTTTTTCCCACAGGGTTTTCTTAAGCTAAGGTTTTTAATGAGGCAACCGATGTTGGTGCACTTGAGTGGATAGTCCTGAAGAGTCTTGAAATCTTGAAGATTATGCCCAGAAGGCTTATGTTTGTACTCTTTTCCTTGGCTAAGTTTTTTTCCCACTGGGTTTTCTTAGGCTAAGGTTTTTAATGAGGCAACCGGTGCAACACATGGATCAACATACTTCGTGTACTCTTTTCCTCGTCTAGGTTTTTCCCACTGGGTTTTTCTAGCGAGGTTTTTAACGAGGCATGAGTATAGTTTGATAATGGCCAAGGGGGAGTGTTATAAATATTATTATTATTATGGCCATTATCACAAGACCTTTCATTTGCCTTATATTTATTCCATTATTTATGTTATAGAAAATGAAGGGTTATATGGATGTATATATATACATGTTCAAGGCATAATGAAAGAGTGAACTTGTGTTCTTGAGTTCTACATTCTTGTGTTATATTTTTCTCTCTACTCTTCCATTCCATATTGCAATATTCTTCATACATACAATCGATGCGTTACCGTACAACTATCACGCGAGAACTAACAAGTTGATAGGCCGAAATTACAACAAAAATCAATGAAATAATAAAACAGGGATCGGAATGAACATAAATTGATTTTATGCCAAGACTAAGGATTAAATGATATAAAACTTAACCTCAAGTTCAAAAATTGTCAACAGCAATTCAATGAACTAATTAACACGCTATTCTCGTGATCCAATGTTAGGCCGGATCGAAATATGTTGATTGTCCAACGTGACGCTACCAATCCCCTCATTAGGCTCAAACAATCTTGACCTTTAATATTTCTTACTCTCGTAAGTGAACTAGGTTGTGATTTTGCATTTTCCATTAAAATATTATTCCAATTATTGCTGCCATTTACAGACATCTCGAAATATGCAACACTATTGTTACCGCTCTGACCATTTGAATGTGCAACACGAACAACATTCATTGTTCCACCTTTCGTGAAATTCATCGACTTATTCATTAAAAAAATCGATTTTAAGATTATAGGACAAATAAGCTGATTTTACAAAAATAATACATACATACATACATACATACATACATACATATATATATATATATATATATATATATATATATATATATATATATATATATATATATATATATATATATATTACCAAATATTTTGAAAATATATATTCTAAAATATATAATTCGAAAACTATATATACACACACATCCTTTATATAATAAAGCTATATGGTTTGGGAAATAATTAATTTTACAATTAATGCCACAACATCTTTTATTATTAAAAAAAACACATTAAATAGCTATATATTATATAATCATATAAAAAATATACTTTTGAAAAATAAAATAGCTATATATTATATAATCATATAAATATGTGTTCAATTAGAGTTTAAATTTACACATACAAAATTTGAAATTTGCTTTCCAAATGTAATTATCTTTTTTTTTTTTTTTTTTTTTTTTTTTTTTTTGTAACCAAATGTAATTATCTTAGTTATTATTCGTATTGTGAAAATTATAATATAGATGAAATACAATTAAGAATAAATCAATATAATTATGTAAATTCTCTCTATAAGTTTATTTGAATATGCACATAATTAGAGATTATATTTATCATACAAAATTATAATTTTAATTTTAATTGTAATTTTGTATTTTATAAAAATAATAAATACTTGACCAATGAAAGCTTAAAAATATTATTATATTAAATAATTTAAAATATTTTAATTTTTCTATTTTTTATTTATATTTATAATAACATAATTTTTTTCCGTGCATCGTGCGGGTGAATTACTAGTAATATACATATAACACAAATAGGGATTTATAATCTTGAAGATTATAATCCCAACCAACATATATATATATATATATATATATATATATATATATATATATATATATATATATATATATATATATATATATATATATATATATATATATATATATATATATATATATATATATATACTAGTTTTTTACGCGCATTGCGCGATTGGGATAATGCCCAATGCTTTTTTGTTAAATAAGTACTTTAAAGTATATTAAGGCAGGATTATATTGAAATTGTTCATGCATAGATAATTGAATGTTGAATTTGCGTATTTAAATAGGTAATTCTTCTCCCAAAGGTTGAGTCCCCAACCCAAAGGGCCCCCCGCACTCCGACCCGACAGAGCATTGTGGGAAGTTGTAAATCACAGTGACTCAATGGTTCAGCAAACAGGGCCAAATGCTGATACGCACAAGGAATCTGCCCACTTTGGACATAATTCCCGCACTGCTGCCGCCGAGGTTCAAACCTTGGTCTCTTCTCCCAAATACTACCCACTAAACCATTGAGCTAAGCCCGTGCGAGTTAAATAGGTAATTCTAAGTTTACAAATGCAAGATAATATAGTCAATATTGATTATAATTGTCAATAAAATAATTGTATAGGTATGGTTGAAACCAAATACGGGACATAAGGGAGAACAAATAAAAATTAGGGCATAAAATATGAAATATATACTAATATTGTTTGAGGAGATTCCGACATTAGGATTTGTGGTTAAGTTCTATTAAGACTTTAATATTAGAATTAGATTAATGGTGTAATTATAATTCTATATATTAGACTTTAATATTAGAATTAGACTAACGGTGAATTAACGGAAAAGTTAAATGGATAATCATATAATTAAGGATGAATTAGAAAATCTTAAAAGAAAAAAATTAAAACCTGAACAATATGAACCATTCATTTGATTTAATAATTTGACGGTCATTTTTTCTACCCAATGTTAATAATTAAATAAATTCGCTGGTAGCGAATATAATCAATTAGAGTATTAATTATGCCAACTTTGATTGGGATGAGGTTCGAACCTAAGACCTTTTTTTTTTTTAATTGAAATCAATGAGTAAGTTAACGGTGAACTAACGGCAATTCTTAAAATTTTAACGGAATTAGTAACGGTGTGTGGGTATTTTAGGAAATTTTAGTGTAAAATTTAAATCTGATCAATCTTTTAATCAATCTGAGCCATTCATTTGATTAAAATCTGTGACCGCCATTTTTTCTACCCATTATAGGCCTAACTCTCTTGGGCTCTTATTAGTATATATATATATATATATATATATATATATATATATATATATATATATATATATATATATATATATATATATATATATATATATATAGGGTCAGGTTCCTGTGAGGTCAGGTCTTCCCGTGCGGTCAGTGCGGCATACACCATTAGGTATGTAAAAATGCACTACACAGTGTTCGTAAATGCACCATTATGTGGTGTATTTTTTTTTTTTTTGTGTGGTGGATTTTTTGACATTTCATTCTGGTGTATTTTCGAACACTGTATGGTGCATTTATACATACCTAATGGTGTATGCCGCACTGACCGCACGAGAAGACATGACCTCACAGGAACCAAAATCTAGATTTAGGATCAAATGAGGACATGTTCCCACATGAAGATTGTGGACAGATCTTGGCCTTTGATTTTCGCTTGATCTATGGCTCTAATTTTCTGGTTTATTTATGTACTGATTTTTTTTCTATTATTGCCGTCACATTGATTAAGGGGCATTTGAGTCTTTGTTTTTTTTTTTACCTTTCTTTGTTTATTTATTTTTGAGTGGTTTGCATGTTTTTAGTTGCATTAATTATGGTAATTAAGGATACTTTCGATTTACATGGTGATTCATAATTGATCTTTTATATTCTGTGCCTTTTTCATTGAGTTCAGTGCTATTGTTTTGTGGTTTGACGTCGATTATTGCCTCTTCATATTTTTGACTTCGTTTTCGGTGCGCTTGGTGCTATGAATTCTCCAGGTATATGTGTTTTCGTTTGTATTCAATATATATTTAGTGTGCATCATTATTAACTGTTTTTGTGCATTTATTGTGTATTCCTGTTAAAATTAAGCATTGTAGTTGTGGTGGGTGCAATGACTTTTGGAGTTCTTGGCTCTTTACGTTCATTGTGTTTTTATAAACTGGCATTGTCTAGTTTTCTCTTTCTTTTTTTTTTCTTTATTAATATCTATTCATTGTAATGAGTTCGTAATGTTTATGTATCAGTGTGCACTCTCACTTTTTATGTTTGTGTAGCGACGCTGTTAGATTGTATGTTGCCAGGTCCAGCTTTTTTTTTTTTTTTTTTTTTTTTCTAGAAAAAAATGTTTTTAAAATAGTTGTATTGTGTGTGTTAATTTTTTAGTTAAAAAAAAATTTCTATTGGTTGGTGTGTGGCGTGTGTGTTGTTGTTTGTTTTTTTTGTTCTCATTTTAGTTGTGTGCAATATCTATTACTTGATTGTTGTATAGAAGAATTCCCATTGTTAAACATATTCATTGGCAGTTTTTTTTTTTTTTTTTTTCCGGTTTATCATTTCCTTTTTTTGTTCGTATTTCGTATACTGTGTGTGGTAATTTTTTTATTAAAAAAATTCTGTTTCGTGGTGTGTGACGTGTGTGTTGTTGTTGTGTGTTTTTTTTTTCTTTTTTTTTCTTGACATTCTAATTGCACAAACCATGCAAGTGAGTTATTCAACAACTTTGAAGGAGTTATTGATGCCCAAAGTCAGCCGCAGGCCAAACTAAATGCAGATTCTGAGGGCCATTTACCTTTGTGCAAGACACCATTATTGATTGAGAGGCACGCGGCTGCAATCTATACTATAAATATTTTTTACGATGTTCAAGCCAAGGTTGTTGCAGGATGTTTTTCGTGTAGTTCTGTGAGTTCAAAGAAAAATGTAAACCTCATGT